GCTTGATGGTGTGGCTCTTACACAGAGCAATGCAAAAGGAGAACATTTTAATATGAAAGTGTCTGAACACAGAAGTTGGCAGGCTGCCCCTGAAGCAGGCACAATGCTTGAAACTATTTACAATAAATTTTGTTTTGTAGTTGACAAGATTTCTAGCTGCTCTTGCACCCCGAGTAGTGTACACATCTGATTTGAGCAATAATGATTGCTTTAGATCCCTTCCATTGCTTCAAGGAGGCAGCCTAGTTAAGAAGTTAGCACTAATTCTGGTTTTGTTTTGTTTTTTTTTTTAGGGCTGGCAGCTGACAAGGCTATTGTATAGATACCATGTAGATGGAAGCCTGCTATACTGGTTTTGCCCCTCGCTATTGAGAGTGGGCACTTTTTTCAGACTAAAGATGGGAAGTATTAGGCCTGAAAACTATTATCAGTATTCCACAGTGGGAACTCTTTCCTTTTTAACACCTGTGAAAAATGATACCATTTGCTGTAGAAAGTACTAGTAAAAACGAAGTTACATGACATGTATGTGTGCGGAAAATAGTCTTAATTGTAAATTTGACAGTTTGGAAGTAAGAGAGATTTTATCTTTTTTAAGACAGGAATAGCCAGATAATTATGTTTGCAAGTTCATGAGGGCACATCTGCTCATTAGCCATTGGGAAACAAAACATTTTAATACAATTCCTTATTTTCTGTGAAGATCAGAGACTGAGACTGACATGAGTTGTGCAAGCAACTCTTACGGAGGCTTTTCACCCACCACACTTGCAATTGCAATTCATGGCTGACAGGCAGAAATACTTAACTATCTCTTAGGTTTGTCTTGTCAAATAACCCAGTGTGGAGTGAATTGAGACCACCAAACAGTTAAATCGCCTTTTTTACCAAATGGCAGAAAATGTCCTAGTGACAAGACAGGATTTCAGTAAATATGCTTTCTGTAATCTTCTTTATTTCTCATTGCATTTGGAGGCAAAGTTCATCTACTTTAAAGTCAGAGGACCACCTAGCCCATCCTGTCCCCCCAAGCGTTAAAATTTTACATGGATTTACTGTGTGGTACACAGTACGTTACTGTCATTCCAAGTATTGCAAGAACGTTTTCTTCTTAATTGACCACTTGAAGCCTTGCATCTATTGGGTCTATAATTCTTGTGGTGATTTTTTAAGAGGGCAATGCCATCCTGATCTTAATACTCTGTTTAATATTGAGTAGGGGTTTTTTTCCACATTTTTCTTAGACTAGCATATTTCAAGAATGGCATCAAACATTTCATGTTTGGCCCTGCTGATTACCTTTGAGAAATCTGATTTTCTGGTTTTGCCCTGCATACCATCATATAATTTGCTTTGTATTTGCTTGAGCAAAAGTGAAGCATACCTTAATAACCATAGAAGTGAGAACACATTACCTCATTGTCAGTCTTCTAAAAATGCATGGTTTCTAGTCACTCCTAAAATGTACTCTAAGCATGTAAACAAATAGTTTAAGGCAGTACCTGTATTAGTGTAAAATAGTTTACTTTTGAAATGTCTTGGTTTAATTTTTAAGGAGAAAATGTAAGACCATCCGGTTTTACTGTCACTGTGTGGTCCATGGTAGACTTCTGCAGAGCCCTCATGATTTTGGTAGTACTCTGCTTGTATTGTAAGAGACCAGCCATGTGGATCAAATCACCAGAACTGAGCCTCATTGCCCCCTAAAAAGATCTATGTATTGTAGTGTGATAACTGTAACGAAGGAGAAGTGGTTTTGCCTGTATAAGAGACAGTAGATGCTAATCTTGACTGGATTTGTGCCTAGAGAGAATGTGGACAGCTCTTGCCTTTTCCCAATTGTGCTCTCTTCTATTTAGAGTTCGTAAAGTTCCGGAGTAAAACTGCGGCTTTCGTGGGAATTCTGCAGGTCAGCTATCCTGCTGGCATGGCCATAGGCGCTGCATCCCTTCAGCTGTATAACTGACCGTTAGTTGATCTTTGCGCTTCGATACTGTAACTATTAGGCCTGATCCAGGAAAGCACTTAAATGTCTATGTAATTTTATGCATGTGAATAGTTTTGCTGGTTCCAGTGGGAATACCGACATGCACCTGTGTTGAAGTGCTTTGCTGGATCAGGTCCTATGCCTCCGCTGGAAACCTCCTAGGGATATGACGGCATGGTCAACCTGGCTATTATGACAAGAAGAGTCTAAATTTTACGTTTTAATTGAAGGTTCCCCAGAGAAGGTTATGCTTGGAAAATTCCTATATCAACCTATCCATGTAGTTGTCTATTTTTAAAAGATGTAATGAAAGGAGACTTGTACAGTGAGAGATATTTGCTCTCAGCTTATCTAAAATGTAACTTTTTGAAATGTGTTTTGCCATTAGGTGGAACTAAAAGAAAATTCTCTAAAACATTGTATGGCTATTAAACAAGCTGAATTTGAGAGAGCTTGTTGAAAGACAAGTATAGTACCTATACATAGACATAAATGCATTCAAAAGAAATACATAGTTTTAAATGTTTCCTGGTTTGGATCAATGCTTTCATTGATATTTTGTTGCTCTTTGGTTTGTTAGGTGACTGGTGGTACATAGCACTAGTGTTTCTAAGTAATTAATATGAACGATTGTTATAGGCAAGCATTTTTGTAGTAAGATATAACTGTGTAAGCAACAACCGGTGTTTAGACTGGCTAACCTTTAGTGATTTTTTTTTTTTTCTTTGACAAGAAGGCATATGTGATGGCTCTCTGACGGAGAGGCAGGCGTATCAGATGTCACCAGCACAGTGCTTTCTGAGCCTAGCTAGCAAACTGCCATTGTCAGCATATGTTAAAATGGATAATAAGGGGTATGAGAAGTCTTGCATGACCGAGCAGTGAACTTCATGTTAACTGTGCATTTAGCAGTGCAGATCTTTTAAAAGCAAAATCTCTAATGTATTTAATCGATAAACTTTGCATCTGTGGTTTGAGAACCCTGCATAGCTAGTAAGTACATGTTAGATCTATCTACTATTTTGGCTTCAAGTATCAGTGTTTAGTCATGTCCTTTTCCAAAATGCTATGAAGTCTTTAACACCCTGCAGTAGTGGCTGTTGCTATTTAAATTAGGGCTGCCAAGATGATTCAGGGAATGGAGCACCTTTCATACAAGGAGAAACTGAGACAACTGGGACTGTTCAGCCTGGAGAAGAGGAGGCTTGGGGGTATCTTATGGAAAGCGTATAAATACCTGATGAGAGGGAATGAAGAAAAGGGAGCCAGACTCTTCACAGTAGCGCTCTCTGTAAGGACAAGAGGCAATGGGCACAAATTGAAACTTCCAGACA